GGCGGGGGTTGTTTCTGCTCCCAGGGAACGGGCGATGGGATAAGGGGAAATGGCTTCAAGTTGTGCCAGGGCAGGTTTAGATTGCATATTAAGAAAAAGTTTTTCACTGTAAGAGTGGTCAAACATTGGAACGGGCTGCCTAGAGAGGTGGTGGAGTCACCACCCCCAGAGGTGTTCAAAAAAATGTAGATGTGACACTTTGGGACATGGTTTAGTAGGCATAGTGGTGTTGGGTTGATGGTTGGACTCGATCTTAAGAGGTCTTCTCCAACCTTAATGATTCTATGATTCTAAGTGGTATGGGGGATGCTCAGTCTCCTCGGGAAAGGTAAGTATCCCCAGATGATCTACCTGTCATCCTTCAAAGTGAAAAACACATTTCTCATGCATGGAGCAGGGCTGGCAGTTTCACAGCCCTCCTCTCTGCCCTGAGCCCCTCAACAGCAGCAAAATTACCTGGTGCCATCACACAAGGTGATTCAGGGCTTCAGCTTTCATTCTGGCCTCATCTCCCACACTGAATTGTCAGCCCTCAGCACTGTTGCCCTCGCTTCAACTATTCACCTATCGTTAAATCTTTACTTCTTGTTAACCCTAGGCTGTGTCCACAAAGCAAACTGCAGCCCAGCTAGGGTCTGGGGAAGTCAGACAGAGCCCGACACCGAAGATCCCCATTGTGCTGGGCAGCTGGCTGAGCAAAATCCACCACTGAACAACTGGGAATATCTATCTTTTGGAGTAACAACCCCACACAGTGCTCTGCATGCTGAGACCCACGCTGGGACAGGGGTCCCCGCATGTCACCACGATGCTCATAGCAAGTGAGAACAAGAAGAGCGTGCTCCTTATGGGCAGCGCAAAGTCACAAAGCAGCTTGTTTGAAAGTAAAGCACCTGCTTCTGAAAGTGGCTGTGGCCTCACTCTGCTGTATCCAAGCGATGCTGAGGCATGCAGGGCTTGCTCTGTGCTCCTGAACGGCACAGACCCTGGAGTCACGCCGTCCCTGGCTGCCTCGCGGTTCCTCCCCTTCTCTCCTCCGCCCCAAGGACTGATGCAGACTTGAGCCTGGTTGGGAAATTGGGATTGGTGCTCCTTTCCCTCTAATAAAATCAGTGGAGTGATTTGCACGCTGCTACCTCCTGCCCACGCAGGCAATGCCTCCGCACAGAGGGGGCGGTGGGGAGAAAGAGGGCACTGATTTTAGCTGCTCTGCCCTGCTCCTGTCAATCAGCAGGCAACCCATTCAGGGCCATTTATTTCTGGCTGCAAGTGGATTATTTGGAAGCCATTTCAACAGTTGTTCAGACTCCTCAAAATAGGCTGCCTGCAGCTCCAGGCTCCTTGCTCTCTCCTGCTGCTTTCTTCTCCTGAATAATTCACACCGAAAACCCCAACTGCATGGAGGGCACTGCACAGCTCCGATCCTCCCCACGTCCCCACCTTCACCTCCCAGCACGACATTTCAGCAAGGGCTTTGGCTTACATCCCTCTCCTTGAGGCTGTTAGGATTGATATCCTAAATGAAACCCAGGGCTCAATACTTATTAGAGCTATGAGGCTTGTTGAGCAGGATTGCCCTGTGCTGGACACAGCAGGGTCCATCTGCCAGGGTAGCAGGGGGAGATGCAGCTGCTGAACGCTGCCAGGCTTTCCCGCCTGTGCGACCAGCAGCTCCGAGTCCCAGCAAGATCCAAGGGTGGACTTTTGTCTGTTTGTTCCTGGATGGTGCAGCTGTGCAAGAAGAGACATTTCTTCTTGTGCACTTAGGGAATTTAGAGATTCAAAAGAATCACAGAAGAAAAAACATGCATCAACATCTTACAAGGCCATTGAGAGAGGCCAGGACCCAAGTGAAGCCCTACTTAAAAGTGGAGAGAGAATTCAGCACCCAAGGAGCCAGGAGTGGAGGCCAGGCTGCTGCAGGCATTTTGCAGAGACCGTTTCAACTGTCTCATTCAGTTGCCATGGGTGGAAAAAATAATCTAGCTAGATGTCAAAAACCTCCCATCAGGAATTCCAGTTTCCTTTGCCTCTGTGCTATAAATACCCCAGTGTGCAAAGGGTGAATGTGGAGCTGTGAGTGGCAGCTGGGGGGCTTATGTCAGGATCAAGCAACGTTTAGCTATTGTTAAATGAAGTGCCGCACGCTGGCTCACGCCCATGCCTGGGTGCTGCGGTGTTTCCCCACTCAAAGCCAGCTTCGACGGACCTTGCTGGGTGGTGGGGAGGAACAGGCAGCCCTCCAGTACGGCGTCTCCCCAGCTAGTAGGTGCAGGGCAAGGTGGGAGTACAGGGAATTTAGGCAAATCTGTCAGCATGACTCTCTCTGGCCAAGCGCCGTGTGTGAGCCGTTCCCTGTTCCCACTGTGTGCCCTGTGCTGGGGTGTAGTACCGGAGACCCAGAGGCACCAAAGTCAGAGCAGGAGCAGGCGGCAGATTTTGCTGAGCAGGAGTCAACATTTGGCTTCTACCCCCAGTTTTGCCACTGTGATGGTCCCCTGTGATCCTGCCTCAGCAGCCACAGGGCACTTGTTCCAGGTAACAAAGATGGATAATAAAGACGGAATAAAAATGTAGGCAGTTGGATCCTTGTTTTCTGCTCTGTTATTACCTTCCCTCCCTGGAAAGGACGCTTTCCAGGAAGAAAGTATCTCTAGCTAACTCGGTCTAGGGAAAGGTAATGGCATTCACAATGCTGCTTCTAATATTACACTTCCTATCTACTAATCCTCAGTGCTTGGTCTCTCAGAAGGAACCTCCCAAGTGTTTCCCCAGCCAAATAATCAGCAGTGATGCTAACAAATAAATAGGAAATCAGGGAAGTAGTATATTGCATTAGCAACTCTCTTGTAGGATATTACAGCCCCTAATTAGATGAGTCTGATTGTCCCCTGGTGTGGTGTGGGGCCCCACAGGATATGGGCTTGTGAGTCAATGTGCAAAGCTGTTCCAAGGAAAAGCCACAAGGGATATATCTACAGGAGCACTGCAAATAGACCTGAGCTTGCTGCCTGCCTTGCCTGGCACTGGGAGTGCTTCAGCGTGTGGAGAAACACTAGGGGAAGTTGAGGGACTGTGGGTGTTTTTTCCTCCAGGCTACGGTAACATATTTCAGCAGGTGAAACGGTGGTGTAAGCAAAATCATGCAGGGCAGGGGGCTGGCTGAACTTGCACAAAAGAGGATTTACAATAGGCAGGAGGGCAACTGGTGGAGTTATAAAGCAGGTGAAGCGTTTGAACAGATTCCCCAAGGAAACTGCAAAATCCTTCTTAGAAGATGCCTCTGGTCCTACCTGGCTGGTAGAAGTCTGGGGAGAGCTCCCTGGCCATCATTCTGGCTATGCCCGATTCGTTGTTAGCTGCCTGAGCTGCCTGCTCAGACCCTTCAGCCTTGGCTTTGGCATGAGCCGTCCTGTGGAGAGAAGAGGGGACAACAGTGAGCACTCTCTGAGCCAAGATTGTCCCAGCTCGAGCAGCAGACCCTGTCCAGCAACAAAATCAAACCAGCCCATCTGGGATAACAGCACTCAACTTGCCCACTTGACCCAAAAAACCCACGCTCGAGGAGAAAAGACCAGATTTTCAACAAGTGAGGGGCACGGATGCTTAAAGCTAAGGTGTGAAGGTTGCATGTAGCCACGCAGGGCAACAGGGCAGATTGCAAACATGAGCATGTTTGTGTGTTGCAGCCAGGCAGCAGGTGCTGCAAAATGGGCTTGCTGCCGTGCTCCGAAGCACTGAAAACTTGGCTCAGAGGAATGCCTAAAGCACCACCACAGGCATCTTTGGGGCATAAGGGGACAATAACGTGATGGCTGAACACTGCTGCGTTGTCACCAGCCCTGAGCTGCTGCTGCACCTCACCAGAGGCAGTGTGCCCCTGCCCAGCACACGGGACACAAACACATTGTCCAAGGAGCTCCTTTACTCCCTGCAGCCCAGGGGGCTGCTCTCACCAGTGCTAGGAAAGGCAGAGCTATTGCCTCCTCTCAGCTTGGCTCCCCAAGTGCTCTCCACTCCTTCCCAGCACATCTCCTCTTTGCTCCATAGGGCTATGGGGCTATCGGAGTTATTTTGCTGGCCGGCTGTCATATTCCTCGCATGCCTCGCGCTCGGGCCCCTGTGATCTTTACGCTAAAAGCAGGGCTGGCTTTACAGCCCAGCTGCTCGCAGTCTGGGAAGGAGCTGACTTCAAACAGCAAAATTGAACCTTAAAAATAAGGGAGGGTGAAGCACCGTATATTCAGCTGCTTTGTTCCACCCAGGACTTATGGAGAGCTGCTTTCCCCCTGCTCTCACTATTATGCTTGCTGAGGCTCCCCATATCTCCCTTGCTGCACGTCATGGAGCATACCCTGGCTGCACTTGCAAAACCACATATTTTTGTGTGGACAGTTAGATAAGCAGCTAGCAGCCCTCAAAAAACCAATTCACTACAAATGACAATGTTTAATGTGGTCTTAGGGTGACTGATGAGTCTTTTTCAGACTCAGGTTGGTGTCTGGCCATCTTTTAGAATGAAAAATAAGGAAAGATGCAGTTCTCATCCCTGGAATGAAAATGTTCCAGAGGAATTTTTGGACTGTCAGTCATTAAATCAGGATCAATTCTTTCCCATTAAACTGAGATGCAGTAAGCAGACAAGACTAGCTTAGTCTGAATACTTGAGAGGTGCAATGAAAAGCTGATAGAAATGCTGTTCTGAGACCTTTAGAAGGTGGAAAATATATATATATACACATACACCCCCCACCACCACCACCATTCTGAGTAGCTGCAGGGAAAGAATTAAACGTAGGGCACTAATCCCAACTGATACAGGCAACAGTGTGACTTGACGGGGAGCCGAAAACGCTGTTCAGGGCCCTGTGATAGAGAAGAGGGTGCGGAGCTGCGGTGGCTCAGCCTGTCTCTCCCTGGGATGACATCCTGCTCCACTGGAGCCACGATTCACCCCCCTGCCCACACTCACACCTTATCTCCCTGCTTTCTCTGCAGGCTGAGCTGCCTGGGATTGCTGTCATTCTTGGTCTTTTTATCCAAAATTATTACAGCTCCTGAAAAATGCAGAGACAAGACATGATGAGGCAGAAAACAGCATTTTTAAGCTGCTGCTCGCAAGCAGGAGTTCTGAGGCAGCTCTGAACAGGGAAAGCACCTCCTTTTTTGGTAGCATATAATCAGCATGATTAATTCCACTATAATCTGGCAGGGGCCAAGGGGGATGTTTCTGTGCTCTCCATGCCTGGGGGATCAGAGTGGGCTGTGCGCACTGTGCGTGGGGCACACAGCCTGACTGGCGCCAGCCCTGCGAAGAAGCTTGCAAAGTGAGGATCCAGCTCTTCATCCCGGCAGGACTTGCTCTGACCCCTGGCTTTGTCCTGCTGCTCTTGGAGGATGGGATTCACCATACAGAGATAAAATCCTCCCTTTCAGCTGTTCGCTGGGCCAGGCAGAGGCTATCCCAGCCACTTCCCAGCCAGACAACCAGCCAGCTGGCCTCAGCTGGGTGACCAGCAGGCAGCGCCTGGCAAGCAGGTGGATGCTTTCCTAAAGGTGACTTCCAAAAAAGCAGGCTGGAAGTGGACTGGATGCAGTGTCTGCTCCCTCTGCTAGTAAGGGCAGAGCTGGACTCATGCTGATGTGTTGCCAAATGGGTGCAGATGGCTTTTGCCTGCTCTGCTCTCACCCAGCATCTGGGGCCAATGCAAAGGACCAGCGTGGGGGTGTTGGAGGTGACAAAGCAGCTCCCAATTATAATCTTCTGGAGATTTCCTTTCCTCCAGAGAAGCTGCTGGATGCTATCTGGCTCCTGCATGGGGCTTGAGTACTGCAGTTCCTGCAGGTAAAGAGATGGCGAGGCCAGGAAGATCCCAACCTGGGTTGCAGAGGCTGTGGTGAGGAAAAAAAAAAGGGCTCTACAATAAACCCTCCTGGGCACAGAGGGATGTGAGGCCAGGGAGACCATGGGGCAGCTCCCGAGCTCTGTGAGCGCAGCTGCGACAGGAAGCTGAGCAGCACGACTTTGGGATGCCCTGCTGCCCCAGGGACACGAATTGCATGGCAGCTTTGCCCAGCTCCCTTGCTCTGAGGGACACACCCAACCTCCTGTCCCCCTGCTTGCAAAGTTGTCCAGAAGTGTTTGATTTGGGTGCACGAAGATCAGCACAACTGCAGCTTCAAATCTGGCAGCTCCGGCACACCCCATGTTGGCCCTCCTGGCATCCCCAAAGGCCGTGGCACAAGGCAGAGCACTGCTCTCCCCCAGCCTGAAGCCTGGCCCTGGCAGGGATGCTGATGGCCCTGCGCTGGGTCCCTCCATCGCCAAGATCATTTATTACAGCAGCAGCCAGGTGATGAACATCTGGCTTACAGAGGCACGACATAGTGTTTTAAGTGCATTTCCCCCGGCTGTGCTGCACGTCCTCGGGGCACGAAGGGAAGGCACTGTTGCTTGCAGCCCTCCAAAAAGCCACATGGAGGGTTTAGTAGCACCGTGACAAAGCCCAGCCTGGATGAAAGGGCCCAGCCATAACAATAACATCTAACTTGCCTAGGGTATTTCTGAATTTATTATTTATCCGCATGGCTGGCAGTGCCTGGGAGTTCAACACAGAGAAAAACTTGGCCTTGGCTGCAAAGCAGGAGACAAATACCAGCCTCCCTGGGAGAGCCCAGCGTGCGCAACCCGCAGCACAAAAGCCTCTACCAGCCTTCGGCCGGGGTCTGCCGGTGCAGCAGTCAAAAAAACCAAAAGCTGAGGCAGGTTTGAGGGAGGCAGGAAGGTGATCTTCGAACCTCAGACATGAAACATCTAAGAGGAAAAATTTCTTCCAAGGTTAAGATCTGCTGAAAAAATAGCATCTTCTTTTGCAAAAAGGAAAATGCCGGCCTTTTATTATATGCATACAGAATCATTTGATACTCTTCAGGCAGCACTTTAATCAGGGCCACACTTTTTTTATCTACTGCTGGTTGTGCTGTCAGCTCCCAGCACCTCTGCAGAAAGCAGCCCGTGCAAAAACCAGCAGGGGAGAAAGTCTGGAGATGGAAGAGGTCAGGGGGAAGCTGAAACAGAGGGCCCCAGATTTCATAGCGCCCAGCAGCAGAATTCAAAAGCCCATTTTCAAGGCAGTGCCGGAAAATGAGCCACAAGCATTAAACACATCCAACTGGGGGCAGCAAACACAAAGAGGGGCCTTTACGAACCAACACCGGTGCTCCCCATCCCAAGCAAGGCAGTACCACCCGGGATGCACGCTTCCCAGTTTCACCCTGAGCCATCTCCCCGGGCAGAGCTGTTAAAAATAGCTCTGGTGAATTCTTTGCATGGAGGAGCAGCAGCCCCATGCCGAGCGGAGGGGAGGTATGTGGGCAATGCCTGCAGCCCCTGCCCCAGCCCTGCTGCCTCCCGGCAGCACTGGCTGAGTCGTGGCTGCTGCTCCAGGACAGCCCCGGGCTGGGAGGCATCATACCCCAGCTGGACGGGTGGGAGAGGGAGGGTTAATGCATCTGCTGCTTTATTTGCTCCTCTGGCATGGCTCTAATGCTCTAATTGTTTTTGTACTAGTGCAGGACAGAGCACCACTCCTGTCCTTCCTGGCTGTCTCCCAGAAACACTGCCCAAATCATTCCTCTGACTGCTACTGAAATCCCCTGCGGATACACGAGCTGCAGCTGAGCACCATGCTAACAGGTGAGACAGGCAGCCAAGCCAGCACGCCCGTCTCTTTGGACAGTTTATGCGGTTTTGCACATCCACATTGGATTAGACTGTAAATGAGATTGGAATTAGCAGAGAATACTGCAAATACCAGACGGGGCTGGGGTGCCTGCAGGTGTGGCAATGACCTTGCAGCTAGAAATAGGGGAAGAGCTCAGCTCTCTGCCCAAGCTATCACACACTTACTTATTAAGGGAAAGACAGACCCGTCCAGCACCGACCTTCCTCCTCCAGGGTCTCTCTCACCCCGTTGATTCAGCAAACCCTGAGGAAGGACCAACTGAACACCTTTTTCTTGCCATTCTCAGTACAATAAGCTTATTTATTAAGCAAATAAAATTCATCAGGCAGCTCTAGGAAGGAAGACTTCTGCTAAACTCCTCTCTTCCTGGAAAGTGGCTTTTCCATGCCCAGCCAAATTCCTGCTCCAGTATCTAGCAGGAATCATTTTGTCCTGAAGAAATTTAAGATAATGGTTTGTCTTGGCAGGGATGTTTGCAGCACTCAGAAGGGATACAGGGAAAGCTGCAGAAGGGCTTTTGCTGATGGCAGCATGGTCCCTTCTGCATTCACATCGCAAAGGGCAAGGACACACAGACCTGACCAACACAGACCTGTGTTGGGGGCTGAGCGAGATGACCTTTAAAGGTCCCTTCCAACCCAAACCATTCTATAATTCTATTACCTGA